GTGAGCCGAGATCATGCCATTGCACTCCAGCCTGGTAACAAGAGCGAAACTCCGTCCCAAAAAAAAAAAAAAAAAAAATGTGCTCACCTAGGCCGGGTGCAGTGGCTCACGCCTGTAATCCCAGCCCTTTGGGAGGCTGAGACAGGCAGATCATGAGGTCAGCAGTTTGAGAACAGCCTGGCCAACATGGTGAAACCCTGTATCTACTAAAAATACAAAAAATAGACCGAGGTGAGTGATCACCTGAGGTCAGGTGTTCGAGACCAGCCTGGCCAACATGATGAAACCTTGTCTCTACTAAAAATACAAAAATTGGTTGGGTATGGTGGTGGGAGCCTATAGTCCCAAGTACTAGGGAGGCTGAGGCAGGAGAATCACTTGAACCTAGGAGGCAGAGGTTGCGGTGAGCCGGGGTCACACCACTGCAGTCCAGCCTGGGCAACAGAGTGAGACTCTGTCTTAAAAAATATATATACGGCCGGGCGCGGTGGCTCACGCCTGTAATCCCAGCACTTTGGGAGGCCGAGGTGGGTGGATCACGAGGTCAAGAGATCGAGACCATCCTGGTCAACATGGTGAAACCCCGTCTCTACTAAAAATACAAAAAATCAGCTGGGCATGGTGGCGCATGCCTGTAATCCCAGCTACTCAGGAGGCTGAGGCAGGAGAATTGCCTGAACCCAGGAGGCGGAGGTTGCGGTGAGCTGAGATCGTGCCATTGCACTCCAGCCTGGGCAACAAGAGCGAAACTCCGTCTCAAAAAAAAAAAAAAAATTATATATATATATATATACACACACACACACACACACACACACACACACACACACAATAATCAGGCATGGTGGCAGGCACCTGTAATCCCAACTACTCAGGAGGCTGAGACAGGAGAATTGCTTGAAACTTGGAGACAGAAGTTGTAGTGAGCTGAGCATGTCACTGCACTACAGCCTGGGCAACAGAGCAAGACCCTGTTTCGGGGAAAAAATGTGCTCACCTTACATTTGTCAGCAAAATCCAAGACTAAGATATTTTTTATGACCAGCAAAAGTAGCTAGGTTAAGATACCTCACAATTACATATAGAATTGATTCTTAGCCCCTCTTCAAATCCCATTTCAAACTGAACAGTCTGGTTATTTTCAGAAATACTCATTTGTGCTTCCTAGGAAACTGAGAGACCAAGAACATAAATTCCACTGAATTGGAGACAAGTGTAAGATTTATAAAGAAAAATTGATGAACCTTTGTTCTTTACAGCCAAGATGATATTGCTACCATTCTGTCTAAAGTGCCCCTGGAGAACAACTACCTGAAGAATGTAGTCAAGCAAATTTACCAAGATCTGCTTCAGGACTGCCACTTCTACCACTAGACCCTTGGACCACCATTAGAACAACCCAGTGGAATGTCGTCGATATTATGTCAGGATCCCATTGCTCTGTAGCCTTTGTCTTTAGGTCATTACAAGCTGAGTAAAATTCCTTCTGATGATGTTATAGTTAATCTGTATGCTTTTTAGATCTCTGCAGAATGATGGTGATGAAGACTGGAATGATGAAAGGCCTATTATCAACTTATTCATCTTTGTACCAAAGGTTTAAGTAATAGGACACTGAGGAAAAATTTCTCCTAATTAAACTAGTGCTTTCTGCTTTAGTACAAGCCCTAAGGATTAACTTTTAAGAGGAAGTGTCACCACGGACAAAAACATTAGCCATTTTCCCACAAAATTTCTTTTTGTTTTCCTACACTAAAACAAAAAGAGAGAAAGCAATAGCACTCAGCCATAAATCCCATAGATAGAACTATGATTTTTAAGTAGCCTGGCTTCTGCCTAGCCATTATTTCTTCAGTAGGGATGTATCTGTCTACAAACTATTCATCTTTTTTCTCCATTACTAAAATGCTATTAACAGAAAGCAAGGCCAGGCCAGTCGGTGGCTCACACCTCCCAGCAGTTTGGGAGGCCAAGGTAGCAGATAGCTTGAGTCCAGGAGTGCGAGACCAGCCTGGGCAACATGGCGAAACCCCACCTCTACAAAAAAATACAAAAATTAGTCAGACATGGTGGCTCGCACCTGTGGTCCCAGCTGCTTGGGAGTTTAAGGCAGAAGGATCATTTGAGCCCAGGAGGAAGAGGTTGCAGTGAGCCAAGACCATGCCACTGCACTCCAGCCTAGGCAACAGAGCAAGACCATGTCTCAGAAAACAAAGAGAAAGCAATAGCACTCCAGCTATTGAAATGGTTGCCATTTTTTTGAGGGCCTTGCTTTTTATTCTTTGGTGTCTATTAATGTTTTCTTAATAAGTATGGTTTTTCTAGGGAAAGTGAATTCATTTTTGTCTAGTGTATATATGTAAATATATTAATGTTTTTGTGTTTGTGATGTAGTAAGGAGATGTATATAGAAATTCATTGAGGTATATAGATACTCATCTGCATAGCCAATTTCCATCTTTCTGAGGAATGTTTTACAGCAAAATTTTCTATTTTCTTTTATTACATAATGACATATCAAACAATATTACATCCAAATCACTAGTTTTATTAATTTCTAGCACTGATAGACTTACTATTGCTCTATTGTTTTCTGATGCCTACCCTTGTTATGCATATTGTTAAATGACCAATATTATGTATGAAGTAGACTAAAAAAATTTTACTCAAACTTCAGTCATATCATAATTGTGATAATTTTTGTTTTATATTCTAAACCAAAATATATTTGCATTCTTAAACTAATTTGTCTCAGAATTTTGCTTTATGCTTTAGGATCAGTTTAAAGTCCTGTGGGTCCCATGAATGTTACTGTCCCTCTTTCTGAGCTATACATCAAAAGACATAAGTTTCAAAAGTCAACACAAAACTCATTTGCCATAAAAATCAAGATACAGATGTTCTGTTTCCATAAATTCCTTGAAAAACTGTAAAGTCATCAGTATGGTCTGTTTCCCTTGAAACTTAAGTTAGCTTTCTTATTGGATTTGTTTTATTTATTTTCTGTTAGTCTGAAAAGTAAAGATTTTGTTTTATGCATTTTAGTAACCTGCAACAACCAGCTCTAAGAATGATTTGGCTTGTAATTACGGTCTGTGTTTTTTGGGATTTGGAGTACGTAATCGTAATATTTACTTAGTTATGTATTTTTCTTTGTTCAAGGTATTGGCTAGTTTCATTAATTTTTTAGAAGTTTTTCTTTCATTGGTTAGAAAGCAGATTACATTTTACACTATTAAAATAAGTCTATTACTTGAAATCTTTTGTGAGTAGTGTTTCTTTATAAAGAGTATTTTAGCATTTATCTAATAGACCTTTGAAGATATACCAAAGAAACCTTCCTTTAGGGACACCCACCTATTTCAAAACTGAGTTTAGGTAAAGTGTAATGGCTCACACCTGTAATACCAGCACGTTGGGAGGCCAAGTTGAGCAGGTAGCTTGAGGCCAGGAGTTCAAATCCAGCCCAGGCAACATAGCAAGACCGTGTCTCTAAAAAAAAATTTTTCTTAGCCAGGTGCAGTGGCTCACACCCGTAATTCCAACACTTTGGGAGGCCAAGGCAGGCAGATCACCTGAGGTCAAAAGTTTGAGACCAGCCTGACCAACGTGGAGAAACCCTGCCTCTACTAAAAATACAGAATTAGCTGATCATGGTGGCACATGCCTGTAATCCCAGCTACCTGGGAGGCTGAGGGAGGAGAATCATTTGAACCCAGGAGGCAAAGGTTGCGGTGAGCCGAGATTGCACCATTACACTCCAGCCTGGGCAACAAGAGTGAAACTCCATCTCAAAAAAAATGAAACAAAATTTTTTGTTATTTTTGAGATGTGGTCTCACTATGTTGCCCAGGCTGGTCTCAAGACTCCTGGTCTCAAGAGATCCTCCCACCTCAGCTTCCCAAATTGCTGGGATTACAGGTGTCAGTCACTGTACCCAGTTTGCTGCTATTTTTCTAATTTCTTGTGATAGTAGATGTCTAGCTCATTTATTTTCATACTTTTTTTTTTTTTTTTTTTAATGGGAAATCGTAGGGGTCAGCATATCCGGAGTGCAATGGATAAGTCTTGCAATGGGAAAACCACCTTCGTGATCATGGTATCTCCCCTGACAGATAAGTGTATTTTCTTTTTTCTTTTTTTTTTTTTTTTTTTAATTTGTGTTTTTTTATTATTCCCAGGCTTGAGTGCAATGGCGCCATCTCGGCTCACCGCAACCTCCGCCTCCTGGGTTCAGGCAATTCTCCTGCCTCAGCCTCCTGAGTAGCTGGGACTACAGACACGCGCCACCATGCCCAGCTAATTTTTTTTTTTTTTGTTTTAGTAGAGACGGGATTTCACCATGTTGACCAGGATGGTCTCGATCTCTTGACCTTGTGATCCACCCGCCTCGGCCTCCCAAAGTGCTGGGATTACAGGCTTGAGCCACCGCGCCCGGCCCGTATTTTCATACTTTCTTTTTGAGACGAAGAAGTCTGACTATGTCACCCAGTCTGGAGTGCCGTGACACAATCTCGGCTCACCCCAAGTTTTGCCTCCCAGGTTCAAGCAATTCTGCCTCAGCCTCCCAAGTAGCAAGGATTACAGGTGTGTGCCTCCACACCCAGATAATTTGTGTATTTTTAGTAGAGACAGGGCTCCACCATGTTGGCCAAGCTGATCTCAGACTTCTGACCTCAGGTGATCCATCTCCCTTGGCCTCCCAGAGTTCTGGGATTACAAGCACGAGCCACTGAGCCTGGCCTATTTTCATTGTTTTAACAAACACTTAAGGTGATACAGTTTGTTTTTTTTTTTTGAGACAGAGTTTCTCACTCTTGTCTTCCAGGCTGGAGTGCAATAGTGCAATCTCGGCTCGCCGCCTTTAGAGTTCAAGCCTCCCAAGTAGCTGGGATTACAGCCACCTGCCACCATACCCAACTAATTTTTGTATTTTTAGTAGAGACAGGATTTCACTATGTTGGCCAGGCTGGTCTCAAACTTCTGACCTCAAGTAATCCGTCTGCCTTGGCATCCCAAAGTGCTGGAATTACAAGCATGAGCCATTGCGCCCAGCCCAATATATTTGTTTCTAAGTAATGTTTTTACCACTCATTCTCCTAATCTGATGTTTTTAAATATATATGTCTTTTTTTTTTTTTTTTTTTTTTATTTCAGGAGAGACCAAGGCTCACTGTGTTGCCCAGGCTGGTCTCAAACTCCTGAGCTCAAGTGATCCTCTTGCTTCAGCCTCCCAAAAGGCTGGAATTACAGGCCTGGGTCATTGAGCCAAGCCTTAAATATATATATATGATATATATATAATATATATGATATATATTATACATTTAAGATATACATTATATATATAATATATATCATATATATGATATGTATCAATCATATATATAATATATATGATATATATTTATAT